CAAGTCTGACAAAAAGACTACTAAAACTAAAAGATACTATACACAATTTCAAAATTTCAAGAAATTCAATTAAGAGACACTATATTTTGCTCATATATTATTACCTAAACATTCAATTACTTCCGATACATTTAGTAAATATCCTATATTCGAATCATCACAAAAATTTTTAGATAAATCAAGAGCATTGAACAATAACTGAATACAGCAAGAAAAAGAATTATAAGAGGCAAGCAGATACATTTATAGAGTTTCAAAAATAACTATTTTGTATCTTTGAAGAATTTTCATTGGTATGACATGTATTAAAAAGAAAAGATAATGTTTAATAATTTCTCAGTTATTTGAAATCGATAGATTAGACATAGATTGAAGAAATCTTTTTGTAACCAATTTGGTCCCAAAAGTCACAGTCATCTTTCAAATAAGTATTTCGAACATCTAATGGATCTTGAAAGTACAAATAAGGTTCATCAATATTCATTTTTGACCATACTATTGACTGCGATACTGGTTGATTTGTATCATGAGTCTTGGCAAAATTAGTCCAATAAGTAGCCATACTCGTTGCAACACGTTTGCCAGCATCTGTAAAATTAACCCATGCTGATTCAAATGTATAAGGTAGTTCACCAGCATGACAGACATGATTATTGCAAAACGTTTCATTTTCCCATCCATCAAAATCAAGTGGAAAACCAAAAACATACGAATATGAAGCAGCTTTACGAGCATAAATACGTGTTGAACATGCAAACACCCATTGTGTTGCTATTTTAGACATGAGTGGCCGCAGATCATCAACTTCACCAGGTGGATAACGTTCCAATACTTTAAATGCATGTTCACGAAACGTGAACATTATAACTTCAATATAAAACGATAATGTGACTGGTTTAGTCCACGCTTCATAGACGTAAAAGATTGCTTCTTCAGTTAATGTACCAATTACAAGTGGTTTAAGTGGAAAAGATGTATTCTTTACCACTTCGATAAGCTGACCTTTTACAATATTATTGTCAATTACAGGTACCCATGGCTCAAAAAATAGTAAAAAGTCCAACGAAGTCAACATGCTATTTACTTTTGTTTGAGCAGCAGCTACGTCTTGATAAGATGCTTTACGCAAACAGTTTATATCTCCAACAGCACAATGAAGTTCTTCAGCGAGAAGAGTAGCAGGTGTAATATATTGCTCATAAGTTCTAAATTCAAAGAGAACAATACTATTCTATATTCAATGATCATTATTATTACCGAAATGGAATCGCCATCGGAGCACTTTGAATAATACTCGCCTGAAAGAACGATTGCATCTCACTTGTTATATGATGCAAGGCCACTGATTGTGCTCCAGCACTTTGACCAAATAGTGTTATCTGTAAAATGAAATGAAATTTATTTAAATTTGTTCTTGATCTATATAGAAAACCTGATTAGGATCGCCACCGAAAGATTCAATATTTGCTTTAATCCAGGCAATAGCCAATCGTTGATCAAGAATACCATAATTACCTTTTATATCGTCTGGTTTAGTTCCCGTTGCAAGGAAACCAAGTACACCTTTAAAAGATTCGATAACAAAAAAAATATGAATCTACTATGTTAAATTGCATTTACCAAGACGAAATTGTATAAGAGCGATAATAACATTCGTAGTATTAACAATTCGTTCAGATTCATAGACTGGTACCGAAGCATCAAGATATTGAAAATTACCACCAGGAATAAAAATCATAACGGGTAAACGAGATGCTGATGATGAATTACTCGGCAGGGGTGTAAATATGTTCAAGTAAAGACAATCTTCAGAAAACTAAATTGATGTAAAAGAAAATAATGGAGAATATTATAAGGTAATAATAAAATAGATTGTATATTTATCTACTATTGTAGGACAAAGAATTGAAGGAATACCGCCACATGGTGGTTGAGGACAAGCTGGAGCCCGTGTTGTAGCATTTAACACTTTTGGAGTCCATTTTGAAATTGGTACTGGTAGATTCCATCTTTGAATTCAATATGAGATGTTTATGATGAACATTTTATAAGAACAGCATACCTCAAGTCACCGATAGGTGGCTGTGCAAATGGAATTCCGTAAAAAATACGAGCCATATCTGTTTCATAACCAAGTACGTCCCCATACTCAGTAGGAACTATAATTGTTCGATTAGCTTGTACAATTTCAAGTAAACAATTGATCGTAACGAATGTAAACACAAGAAATGTTCGCATGCTTAAATTAGCTAGTGGTAAAAATATTTAGTATGAAGACAATGTGTTGTGTTATTAATATAAATACTGATAAGAGAGAGAGATAAATTTACTGAGTATCTTAAAAAGACAATGCATTGTTTGATGTAGTTTTAAAACATGCTGCTTACAAATAAAAGACTTCTATTCTTCCATTATTATTATTGGAGAAACAGCTCAGTAATCTTTTTTTTTGTTGTTTAAGTCGTAAAAAAATTATGAAGGTCAAAGTTTGCTATATGTTATCAGCGGGTTTCAAACTATATCATCACAAAAGAACATTATACTAAAAGATAACCTAGTTTTTTTTCATTCAATATTCAATGATAATGAAAGTTATTATTTATTGTTGCAAACACACTGTTAGTCATTTGATACGCATCATATTATTAATCTCTTATATTAATCTGTTCTTATTAAATCAGTAAAAATTATCACAATCGATACATACATATATATATAACACTTCATAATATAAATTATGAAGGACTATTGAAGCTTTTTTTGTTAGAGTTGTACACCATCTATGACTTATATTTCTTCCAATATTTTATATACTTCAGATTTTTGATCTTTCGAGTGAACGTTGATGATGATGTAGGATATCTTCTATATATTATGTGGAATTAAATGAATGTTATCATAAGTACAATGAATCATAATTCTTCTCAATTTATTTCAAAATATTTTGAATGTAAACTATTACAGATCTAAATAGATGCTTTTTTAGTCGATCGCCTTTCTTAAAAAAAGATCAAACTCAAAGAATACTCAAACCACAGACTGTTTGTATTTGCAGAACAATGTTGCGTTTGAAGTGTATTAGATAAAGATATTATTTGTTAAAAAATTGAGTTTTTCAAAATACAACTATGGTTTTAGTATGTACGAAAGTAGAATAAAAAAAATAGATTATAGACGTATCTGTTACATAAATTATATATTTTTTTGTCGCTATAGCAGCTCTAATATTGTTATCGATTCTAGCACTTGATTTAAAGAAAAAGATGATAACATGCATAAGCACCATTATTTTCTCCACAAGAAAAAGCAACGTTCGTTATAATGAAGAAATCTGTTTATATTTGTGATGGTAAAGCATGCAATTGATGTTAATACTTCACATTACTATCATTTGTCTTGCTCTATATTTATAATGGTTTTTACTGAATAGAAGACGTGCAACGCGGTTGAGAAGTCAATGAAATATATCATGCGATGGACACAGTAGTCTTCTTAAATAATGTATGCTTAAACAGAGTGACGATAAAATAAGTTAGTCTGATAGCCATTAATACATTGAAGAAATAGAGAACTATTTAATTCGAATTAAAATGCAAAAATTGAGACCAAAAATGAAAGTTGATCTATGTTGAATTATAGTCAAGAGTTTCTTAAAGTTCAAATCATGAAAAAAAAAATTAGTATTTATACAGAAAACGAAAGAATGCAGACAACATAAAGGAATCCATAGTAACACATAATAATGTATAATTATATAATATTGGCATTCCATTGCAATAATCAATGTGTTATAAATAAATAAATTTAATTTTCATATTAATCATAACAATAATTATGATAAAACTCCATTTTAATACATATAATATATTATACCTTATGTTAATTAATCAGTATACTATTGCCTGAGAAAAAATTCTTATGAAAACTTATAATATATAATATAAAAGTAAATTTAAAACTATATAGTTAATAAATCATTTATTGAAATTTTACTATAATGCACATTTTGTGAAAGTTACAGATTAAAATATGAGTATTAGTCAAGGGAGAAAAAGCTGATTTCAGGTGATTCTGAATGATTCTAGGGATGCACCAGTCCTAGTTCCGATTGGAAGACAGGGTACCCGTCCGGTCGAAGTCCCAGTCGGACTGGATACCATCCAGCTCTATTGGATAGCCTGTACACAGACCTAGAGTTGATTCGATAATCAGTATTTATTTTTTGACCAAAAATTTTCGCGATTAAGGAATCCGAATCTGCCATCAGTTTCTTAAAATTTTGAACTTGATTTTTTTGATCAAACAGTAGGCTTTTTAAGAAAAAAATAATTTTTTTTGTAAAGTTTGACCAAAACTTTTTGGAGATCGAGGAATCTGAATTTGTAATCATTTTCTTAACATTTTGAACTTGTTTTTTTCACTAAACAAAAGATTTTTTCAGACTCCTGAAAAATATCGATTTTCTCCAGAATTATCGAAATTGAGATAAATTCATAGAGAAATAGCCCGTCATCTGCTCTTTCATACGCGACAAAAATTTTTGTTTGGCACCTCTTTTTTTTCCGAAAATTTTGAAAGATTTTCATTTTTCTCAGAGCATGTGTTCAACGACGTAGCGCCAACAGAACTCTATCATAATAAAAGATAAAATCAAACATTTTTTTTTTGTTTGAAAGCTTGTGTCTAGAGCTAGTCCCCTCGTAGTCCTTTTTTAAAAATAAGTCTTTTTTTTATCATATAAGAAAACACCTCTTTACAAACAGAGCCACTTTTTTAGAGGTTTTTTATCAGTGATTAAACTTGTCGTCTCTTTTCTTCGCTTAAAAAGTAAGAGTTTACAAAAAAGGGCCATGAGAGAAGCTAGCCCTAGACATAAGTTTTCAAACAAAAAAAAAAAAATTTAAATGTATAAAATGAAGGCCCAGAGAGAAATCTTGGCACTACAATAGAGCTATTTTTGACTCTTGTTTGTTGAATATCTCTATTAAACGTCATGATATAGGACTGAAAATTTTACCGTAGCCATTGCTCACCAGCTCTAACATATCCTGAAAGTTTCATCCAATTTGAATGTTCATGGCCTGAGATTGTTTTTTGAGGCGAGCCTTAACACAACATGATCCAACATTAAAATATCATGAAACAGTAATTCATATTTATTCAACATCTACGGTCTTGGTATTTGGTTAAAAATGATTGTGAAAAGATTGAAAATTTCCATATTAATAAAATTTTTCATTAAAATCTTCTACATTTGTTTCATTTATTAGATATTGAATTAAATTTCATGTACTATTGCTTTCATACACAGCTTATTTAGTAATCTCATATTCTTCGTCAGGCTTTACTCTGTGCAATTACTTTTTTTATTGGAAAGATCATGTAAAGTCTTAGAATCTAAGGATATCTTTTTTTTTCGAAAATTCTTACTTTTCATTTGGATGGAAAAGATGACAAGTTCAATATTCTCCCAAAAAGAAAGCCTCTAAAAACAGGAATCTAATTATAGAAGTGCTTTTATATGTACTAAAAACGCCAAGATTAATTTAAAACAATCGGGATTCGTCATATCCTACAGTTAAACATATTTCTTTAAACAAAAATAATTATATAGAATACAACTTCTTCGAGAATTCTGAATTACATGATCAAAAAAGTTTAAATAATGAAAAATAAACAATATTTTTTTTTAAGTAGAAATTTTACAATATTCGAGTATTTTTTAACACTTTTAGTTATCCATCAAGTTGTAGATTTCGATGAATGTTAAAAAAAATTGTTTTTCTTCTTTGCAGCTTAGTTGAACTTGCTAAGGCGCCTTTTCAATTCATCAAAAATCCCTATACTAGAAATCATCAGACTACAGAAAGCAAGTGTCAACGGGAATTTTAAGTAGAACAAAAGAGTAGGACAATGTAGCCCAAAAATTCTTTATAGAATTTCAATTTGTTTTTTCATCTTGTTACTTTCATTTTTGTTTTATTACTTGCTTTAACTAAATGGTCATATTTGTTCTACAATCGTTAAGTATTTGAACAAGTGATGATATGGTTTCATAGAAATGATCATTGCAATCGATTTATTTGAAAATTTAAATATTTTTCTTTAACAGCTTTTTTTTCTCTCGATATAATTTAATTCTATCGAACATAATAAGTGGATTTATGTGAAAATTTATAGTATCATTTAACTTTTTAGCTCGAAATTCTTTTATTAATTTTTAAAAATTGTTTTTGTTTTTATTGATGAGTAACAACTTCTATGCTTATGACTTATTTCACTTATTAATCTTCTAATATTTTAGTTTTATCTTTGAATTTAATAATAACTTTTTGGATGTTATTATTTTGTTATAAAATATTTATTTCATGTTTTTAAGTACTTTTTTCTATTAATTTTGCATTGCAAGTACAGAAATAACACACATAGAATCAAGGCTACCATCTTTGAGGTATAATTCATTGAAGGTAGCGTCATTTTTGGCACCACTTTCAACGTATTATACCCTATTGCTGACATGCCGGAAAACAATGGATGAACAATAGGAGTAGTTAAATGAACTTTATAAAAGAATAAAGAATTAAATTTTGTAAGATACTCACAATAGAAAATTATCAATCTAAAATTATATTTCTAGAGTTGCTTATGTTAAATGCGTTGTTAAACTGTTTAAAAAAAATATTAGACTAAATTAAAAAAAGTTTTTTTTGCTAAACAATATATTTTTCATATTTAAATCATTAATTACAATTTGTTCAATGAGTCAAATATACACTGAATAATGCTTGTCCAACAGGTAAAATCTCAAACATAATTTTGAAATTCAACTGTTCATTAAGATAAAATTTTACATGGAAAGAAAATTTTAAATTTTTTTGAATTTTTTAAAAATATTTTATCAAAAAAATACCTCAAATTGCTACTTCTTTCCATTCTTCAGTTATTATAAAAATAAATCCTTCCATCAATGTAACACTATACTACGATATAAACACACAGGAAAGAAAGAAAAAAAGAACGAATCCGAACTCCCAGATTTGAACTGGGGACCTATAGGTTACTATGTTTACACCATTACAGCCTACCGCTCTGCCAGCTGAGCTAAGTTCGGATGTTGGAAGAAGATTCAAAAATACATCAGAAGATTATTTTTCTACATGAAAATAACAATCAATTAAATAATGTAGCACGTATAAATTTTCTTTTTCATTTTCTTTTACATTAATTTTCGATACTAACAAAAAAAAAAATTTTTTTTTTCAGAATTCTAAATGATAAGTACAAAATCGATATTTTTACTAGGAAAAGAAAAAAGTGTAAATGATTAATCACATTAATATGAATTTTTTGAGAACAAAATTTGTATCAAATTTTTTTTTTTTGATAATAATTACAAATGAACACTTGAATATGAATAAAGATAAACGTTAGACAAGAAAAAAAAAAAGTTAAGAAAATTCAAATAAGAATATTACAGAAAAAAAGAAAAAAATATAAATGTCTGCTTTTTTTTTTAAATCGATTACGTTGGACGAGTAAGACGTGTTGAACTAGAACTTGCACTAAAATGACGTCCATTCATTGCACGTCGTCGTTTACATCCTTCGATTATTAAACCTAATATCTAAATGAATAAAGAAAATGAGATTTTTCTTTTTTTGAAAAATAATTTATTTACTTTATTTTTATTGCTTAGTATCAAATAAATAATAATAACACATAAAATAAAAACCAAAAAGCCAGTCATAATATTGTTTGACCCATCATTCTCATCATCACTGTGTAATTTTAATTTTGGTTCTTAAAAAAAGAATGATCGAATAAATAATTTAATAAGTAAGAAAAGAAATATGATAATGCATCGAACTAGTGTTTTCTTCAATATAAGAATTAACAGACTAATCCTCACTTATTGTTCGAAATTATCCTTTTACAGAAACCGAAAATTTCGATAATGCACTCTTCTAAACCGAATATTTTTGGTTGTACATATTATTCTGATGTACATTTATTTTTCTTAGAGAGATTGTGTTATGAATTTGCAATTCTAAAAAAAAATGTAGTTTTTTCAGATATTTTTTTAAGAAAATAAGAGTCAAAAATACGATTCAACAAAATAATGCAGCATAAATATTAAAACTAACACTGAAAAATTGCGAATCGAATTCACATTGTCAAAATAAACTTGCAATGAGAACATAGATTTTATAAAGTTCTTCGAAAAAAGTTCGAAACAACAAGATTCAATTAAACTAATCCTTCGAATAAAATGAAACTTTCAATCCGAATCTGATAACTGCTAGGAAGGTATGAAATATTTTTTTGATTACAGAGAATGTTTTAAAAGTTCGAACGAAAAAAAAAGCCCGTGAGTAGCTTCTTAGCAATTCAAGGAATTCACATATTCTTTTTACAGTTTCATCACATTTCCATTAAAATCTTACTCATTATATTTCAGATAAAATGCCTACGCCTAAATTATTTTATTCATGATCAAATTCGAATAAGTCAGCATTATAAAACGATCACTAAGAATTGAATTTGGAAAAAAACCATCCCCATCTAAACAGTGCATTAGCAACATATTCTACTAATTTTGTGAAATCGATACTATCAAAATATTGATGACGTTCTGAAAGACCATAGAGTAATTACAGAAGAAAAAGTAGATGAAATTAATGACACTTGTAAAAATAAGTTATATTCAAATTTTCAGTCTATTTAATTCTTCTTCGTAGGACCGTCGAACAAATTATATCTTGTATTACTTTAATAAGAGATGTTTCATCATAATCCAATATGCTATTCGTTTTGGTAATGAGCAAGCATGTGCAATAGATCAAATACCTGATCCTGGTTCATTGCCATAAATATCCTTAACTTCATTGACTTCTTCTTCAGTAATTGCTTTAGGTCTTCTAGAACGCGATCGATTTTCGTGAGTACCAGTTTCATAAAATCGCTGAAATATGGTTCGGTTAGCGTGCTTTCGCTTCTTCAATGAAAATTTTAATGAATAAGTGATCAAACTGTAAAACAAAAAAATTTTAATTCCTTGAATTGTTGAGGAGCTATTCACGTTTTTTTTCCTTCGTGCTTTTGAAATGTCCTGTATATTTGTTTTCGATGGCGAACACATTCTACATATTTCTTTAGAAATCTTCAAAATGATCTTATAAGAATTAAATTATAATTGACTCTAACTGTCAAAGTAATATTCGTCAGATCCGAAATCTATCTGATGAACTCTAGTGATACATTGTAACTTTATTTTTTAGTGAACAATGGGTGATAAAAATATATCGATTTTCTTATTGAATTAAAAGAAATGGAATACAATATCTTACTAAGTTTAAATTTTTTCTTTGTCATCGGAGGATTGATAAGTTGATTTTCTTGAAATTTTGTTCGATTATATTGAAGTAGGTTAAAACGTGGTTCATTTTCTTCTTTATTTTCACCATCTCGTCCTATAAATATTTGTTAGTATTAAATGTAATTTAATATTCAAAATTTTGTTTTAGTACCCGTATCCTATTTCATATTAAATTAAACTGATACCTTCAATCCAATTTCGTTTTTCACCATCGTTTGATTTAAAAACAACTTCAATATCTAAAGCTTTTGGTTCTATTTAAATAAAATAATTCTTTTTTTTTTTTTTGTTGCTTCAATAATTCTAAAAATATGACTTACTTGGTCGTTCATTAATTTGTACTCGTTCTATAGAAAAAAACAAAAAAACAAATAATAATAAAACACAAATAACATAAAACTATATACCTGGTAATTCTTCATCTCGTCCTAATGGAATTCCTACTAGAAATATTTATCTTTGATTAGTTTTAATAAATGATAAACAATTAATTACCTTCATTCATTTTTCTTTTATGTACTAATTTTGATTCTGTTTCATCTATTTGTTCCAAATTATCTATAATAAAAATATGTTGAAAAATCAATAAAACTTTCATTGAAGTTTTTCCATCGTTATCAATAGATTTCAATTGATAACACAAGTTGCCAATATAAACTTGAAACAGTATTTTACATTCACACAATTAATTTTCTGATTTATTGAAACGAAATATATTATGAATATTTTATAGAAGATCGCATCGAAAACTGAAAACGATTGAATTTCGAGAAAATGTTAAGAGGTAACACTAAAGTGTATATGTAATTCATTGAAATATTAAAGAATTCAAAAAGTTTCTAATCTAATGAATATCGAATAGATTCTACTTTCTGTTTATATTAAAAAGAACAAAAAATCTTCAAATTTCCGTTCATCAATTAGCTCGATTATAATTACAAACTACATCTTAAACTTGCATTAACTATCTGAAAGTAATAAGGTCGACTATCAGTAGTACTGCGATAAAAAAAAAAGAAATATTTCCACTTCGGTTCAATCAAATGAATTGTTTCTTTTTTTTTTCGTTTGCAGTAGAAATTCATTCAGTCTTTTTTTTCATAGGGATAAAATAAACAAATACTATTATTAAGTACTATTGTTGATATCATGAAAGTCATTTTACTTGTTATCAATTAATTATCAATTAAAAATAATAGAAGTGTAATGTTTCATAGATAATTTTCAATTGTCATCTAAGAGAATCATAAGAAGAAATCAATACTAACTTTATGAATGATACTATATTGATACATTTAAAGCAAATTTTCAGAACTAGTTATTCTAAAAGTCAACAGTTACAAAATTTCGAATTTTCAAATATGAAACAGTGATTTTTTGCAAGAAACTTAGTACTCACAGCACTGTAATTGCATGCTTTAATTAGGTAATATAAATTTCAGCATCAACAATAGGCGAACTTTCTTCAGCAAGGCCAAAAAATATAACTAGACAGTAGTATTTGTGTATGTTATCGGTATGAAAAAAAAGAACTTTAAATAAGCCAGTATAACTAATAAAAAAAATCAACCTGTTCGAATAAACTGAAGCAGACATGTTTCAATTTTTTTATCGCAGTACTATTTTATGACCGTCCCTGTATTTCAACTAGAGAATCTCATTAACTGACATACTCCGTTTGAGCTCATACGTAGGGCTCATAGTGTAGATAAAAGCTTCAAAAGGATTCTTTCCATTAGGCTCTTGTTCTCGAGTTATGATCATTTTACTGGATTTCTAACCGATTTCGGAGTTTTGCGAGCAAAACCAAATCAAGAAAATTTCGCCCCAAAACAGATCTCATAGCTCTTATAATAATATCCTGCAATTTTTAGTCAAAATGAATGATTTCATCTCAAGATGTTGAATACTAAACAAATCAGACTTTCTCGAATCTTTTGTGAGGAAAGACCATTTTTTTTCACATTTGTTATCTCGGTAATAGAGCATCTATTTTCGCTGAAACTTTCCGGATATTATAATGGCCAGTAGATCCATTCTTTGACGAAATTTCAGATTGAGATTCTTCAATTTGGTTTTGCTTGTAATACTCTGCAATACACTAGAAATTCAGTAAAATGATCATAACTCGAAAACAAGAGTCTAATGAGAAGAATCTTTTTGAGGTTTTTCTTTATACTATAAGCACTACCTATGAGTAAGATGTGAGCTCAAACAGAGTGTATCAGTTAGTGAGGTTCTCTTGTCAATCACAATACAGTATACGAAAAGAAAGTTTACCCTACACATCTCTAATTTTGATCAAAAGAAACTTTGTTATTGAACATGAAAAGTTTATTGAAGATCATCTAAATCTTTTTCTTTTTGTTCAAAATTTAATTCATCTTCCAATGAACTATTTTTATTTTTTCTAATCTTAACCGTATATTGAGTTTTTTTTGTTTTTTAATTATTATCGAAAGAAATTCTTTTTATTAAACTTACTTCGTATATTTTTGGTTTTATTTATATCTTTAAAAGAAAAAATTAAATAATTACTTTAAAAAAAAAATAGAAATAGAAATAATTTACTAAAGTTGATTTGTTCTTGTTTTAAGTCTAATACTAGTTGTGTTTTATTTTCTATAATAAAACAAAAAAGAAAAAAATTTTATTTTATTTAAAACCAAAAAAAAACAATAAAATATGTTTTTACTTGTTATTTTGTCTTTGACAACATTGTGTTTCAATAATTGAGAATCTATATTTATATTATTAACTAATAATTGATCTTCTTGTTCGATTTTTTTCTTATCTATTTTATATGATCAAAAAAAA